GAGTCAGCCTTGATTCAACAACTTCAAGCTGAGGTGTTAAGATTGTCAAATGCATTACAGTTGCAACAGCAGCAGCTTCATCAGATGCAACAACAACAACAAATTTGGGCGAGCCCACAGCTTCAGGAAGTGGCTTCAGCAAGACCCAGTCTTTCAGCTAACTTGCCTACAGCATCTAGTGCTGTTGTGCCTTGTGCACATGCTGTAAGTGGTTCGAACCCAGCTTTGGCAAAAGCACACCAAACAATAGCACCAGCCTGTGCGCCCCCAGCATCTTTTGCAGAGGGCGCTGCCCCTGGCGCGCCACTAGGAGTAGGTCTTAGTCATGCGAGCCATGCGGGTACACCATGTGGTAATTCGACTTGTCGAGCCACAGGAAGTGAGTTATTCCCGCAGCAGGTGCTTCCTCCGGTTGTGCCACCATTGCCATTGCACCTTGTCCAATGAGGTGCCCAACACTCAATGCCATCATATTATCACCACAAAAGTTCACGTAGGTCTGTTGACTCTTCGAGCTCAGGGTCATCATCCGACAGTTCCTCCTTATCACCTGTAGATTTCGCGAGACGGGAAGCCAAGACCGTTATGGTAACGTCCCTGACTAACCTGGTTTTTCCCCACCCTCCTGTTAATGCAGGTGAATCTCGAGGTTACATGAACCAGGTGTTAATGGCCATAGGCAAACTTCAAAAGACCCCTGGTAATGAACTTTACTTGTGGGCCCAGGAGTGCCTAACCTTAACAGAGGAAGAGCTCCAAGCCGACCCTCGCTACCCTCGCACTGACCGCGAAGTAGCATCCAAGCTCTTAGGAACTTGCAAAGGCGGAAAGTTTGGACTCATCTTCAATCAGATGTTAGAATCTGAGCGCGCTGCTAGTGGGGCCATGCCCTGCGGGCGCGCGATGTTGCGTAGAATATTTAGACATTTCCAGCTAGAGCGTGACCGCCTTGGCATGCTTGGCGAAAGGAATTTGTTGTCTCTTAAGGTCCCCGGTAACACTATAGCTGATCTAGTTACCTTTAGAGACACCTATACCTACGTAATGTCAACAATTCCCGTAGAGGATTTGCCGCGGCCGCAAACGTTGTTTAACCATCTTATCGACGAACTTGAGCATCATGCTGTAATGGCCTCAAAGGTCGTTAAAGCTAGGGAAGCCCGACTAGATAGCCATCGTTGCACGACCGATTGGTTATGGCCTAAAGTTGAACTAGCCATCCAACTGGAACAGCAAGAGCGCAATCGCCGAGATTTTGATGAACAGCTAGGTCTAAAACCAGCGGCAGGGTACTTCGGTACCAATCCACCTCCCGATGACAACATCGCTGGTGCCCCGGCACCAATCCCAGACCCAGACTCGGAGAACACTCTTGAATCTCCAGCAAGTCAGGGTTCAGGGGGGGGTGAGACTGAGGAGGATATGCAGGCAGCCCCTACCCAAAAGGCTAGACCCGTAGGATTAGAGCAGCCTCCATCCACAAATGTGGATAGCACGAACCCTAAGGGACGGAAGGCCAGGAGAAAAGCCAAGTCGGCAGCCGAAAAGGCCATCACCCCTTGCATGTTCTTCGCGTACAATATATGTAACGCAGAACAGTGCGCATTCCTCCACTCGGAAGACAATAGATATCGAGGACCTCCTCCTAGATCACTTAGCAAAGGTGGCAAAGCCCCTCCCAATGCTTATGCTAACGTAGCAACTGTGATAGTTCCAGAGATCCTTGTCTTTGACGCGATTAAACCTGTAATCACTGCCATGCCTTTCGAAGCTTCCACAGCCATCCCTTGGCTGTGGGACACTGCAGCAGGTCGACACCTCATTGGACGCCAAGCCCTCACACCATCCATGCAGGAGAGTGCACAGCATTCTCCAAATCCCGTAGCCTTCGCTACTGGAGGTGGCAGCCAACCCGGCAAAGAATCCCTGACATTTAGTGGCAGTAAGATTCTTGATGGTGAAGAGGTCTATGTTCTTGAGGAATGCCCTCCAGCACAAAGTATAGGTAAAGCAGTCATAGATAAAGGTTACATGTTCATCTGGGATCCACGGGAGAGTGTCCCATATCTAATAGCTCCCGAAAACGTCAATAGATGCAGGCTAAAAGTTCCCAAGAACGCTAAAATCTGCGCATCTAGGGTGGTAGGGTATGTCCCACAATATGATGAGGAACTGACTCCATGTTCATTTGATCCAAATGAGCGCCCCGCTCCCGTACCAAATGCGATGCCAGCTTCATCCGTAGGACCCAAGACACTTGTAGAAGTAGATGATCCCAATGACTATGGTGTTTCGTCAACCCCTACATATAATGTCTTTCCACCCGCAAAAGATGTAGAAGCAGATATAGCACCTGAATCTGTTGATGACACTGTTAGTTTGGCTAACACGTCGGGATCTAAAATGGTCGTTGTCGATGTTTCCAACGTACCCAAAAATCCAATGGATGACCAGCTCCTGGTTGAACTGGGGAGTGGCGAGCCGCCAAAGGATGAAATCTTGAAGCAGCAAGCCACCAATCCAAAGCACATGCGATTAAACTCATCAAATAGCCAGTTTTACCCCATTAGTCATATAACTAGAGATAACGCTATGAAGTTTTCACATTCCAATGATGGCAAGGCCGATGGTTTTGGTGATTCTTCAGAGCAGCAGCATGAGCGGCTCTCATCAAGCAGCGTTGTCCTAGATAAAGGCTCCCAAAAGTTTGAGGTAATAACAGGAAAAGTTGAATCGCATAGAAGTGAAAGCGTAGCAGCCAATGTGCACAACCCAGCGCGCCTGGTGCACGAAGGCGATCTCGTCTTCCCGGTAGGTATGTTATGTGGTCATGCCCTCTTCAGGGGGGGTAACCCGCATGACTTGAAATCCCCTAATAATACTGAGGATGACGTTCTCTGTCATAAAGATGGGGGTAATAATGACCCTTCAACACCTGATCTTAGGAGATGTCCTATAAACATTCCCTTAGATCATGTCCTCACCACTGAGGATACGCCTGGATGTGCTACCTGCAACACCCATACACGGCATCCTGCCGACCAATGCTGCGCCCACTTCTCAAACATTCATACGGTTGAAGAAAAGAAACGACATAAAAAGGGGAAACAAGCACCACTTAACGCAAGCACATAAAGAATCAAAAGTGACGAGGATGCTGAGCTCCATGCTCGCATCAGGGTAGGTGAAGAAACCTCTAGCCCAATGCCCTCTCACTCTTCTTTGAAGATTGATCAACTTCATGGGGATTGTGATATAGCACACCGGAGTTAGAGCTTCCCAATCCTGGTTCCCCGTCACCCTCAATAGCTAGCGTTTCGAGTGCCACAATTCAATCCCAAGTTGTTTCATCAGCCTCAATCCCTTGTCAGGAGTCGCTCCCAGGGTCTAACCAACCAACTGGTCGCGATAACCGTAGACATCGGAAAGTTGCCAAGATCGCATTTAGTGCGAATACTAAGCCAACCACATCCAAGTTTGCCTCTTCCCCTGACATCTAGAAGTTGTCGATAGGTGAACATAATGGCATTCCATGTGATAAACTTAGTAGGGATAACACAGAGTTAGGTAATGAGTCGCAGTGCGGACTGCTGGGCAATCACACAGCTGAACCCGCTGAAACCGCGCCACCACGTGTGTGGACCTCATCCTCCTGCTCACATACATTCCCTTGGCAGCGCCCAAAACATAATGTTGGTCTTAGGTCAAGGGCATCCGCCCAACTTAAGAAACCTTCTCAAGACACAATATCCACCTCCATCACCAATGATGGACCGATATGGATGTGTCACACACGCATCGCTAAACCATAAACCAACGCATAGATTGCTGCGAGCGCCCGCTTGCGCAATATTAGTGCGTAGGTGCCTGCCAAAAGCGCAGAGCGTGGATCAGGCGAGGGGGGAGTTGAAATATATCGACCCCTGAGCCCCCACTACATGTAGCATAGCAGGTAGGTATAGCGTAGTGTAAATAGCGTAGCTATGAGTCCCAATTTAATCCAATTCGTTATTTCTAGCATGGCATACTGTACAGAGTATCCCAACATACCTAGAAGCGTTAGGTATGTTCAATAGCTAGAGTGGCACCACTTACCTTGTTCTATAGGTAAGTAGAGTAGCCTTAGGTAGAGCTAGGTATAGCCCCCAATCCTAACAACCACCTGGGTTGGGGTTTAGGTTATACGCTATCGACCCTTTGGCTCAAGTGCCTTTGCTAGAAAAGGTGCTTGGTCGTTTTTACAGGGTTATGGACGGATTAGGTCACCCTTGTTCTTTTGGGTTGTTCCGGTCGTCCCCCTGTTTTCACTTGGTTATGTCAAAATAGCTATTGAAAATGACCATAGAAATAGTGGATTTTCCCATGAAAAATGGTGATTTTCCATAGTTTTTTGTTAGTTTACCAGAGGGTATTTCTTGGTGAAAAGTCTCGGGTGACCCCACTTCCCCATTGGTTTATTTTCCGAAAAATCCAACGTTCATTGGTTGCAAACCCATTTTTTTTCAAAAAGGCCACTGCCTTTTTGGTGTGGGAATCCACCGTTTTGGTGTGAAACGTGCACCGAAATTTTGTGTTAAATTTCTTTTGGTTGATGGTTTCAACATGTTTCACCTATTTATTGGTGAGATTGTTTGGGATGACATGGTTTCACCTATTTCTTTGTGTGAAACATGCCTATTTATTGTTTATCAACCATACTTGGGATGATTGGTTGAGATGACGAACACCGCCTGGTAATCAAAGGTGGCATGGTTCACAAAATGGTGGATTTTCCAGCACGCATAAATTTCAGCGGCAGCAGGGTATGTTTGGGATGGTAACCACCAAGCAGCAACATTCCCAGATGCGAACCATGGTGCTGGAATATTTACCTACAAAACTGGGCCATTTTTATCCATTTTTAGGGTAAATGTATATATATATATATTATATAGGTGTTCATATTCCAGCACCATGGTTCGCATCTGGGATTGTTGCTAAATCGCTGGCGCGTCTCCGAGGTTCTCTTGCCGTAACCACAGTGGCTCCAACCTTTCAAGCGTCCAGTGACAGCATTTGTGATCCGAGTTGAGCCATGCCATTTGGGGGGCCCATAGAGATGGACGATTTGTGGACCAGATGACGGCACTTTTATTTTATATGACATACATTGGACATAAGTTGGACCATTTATGTTTGGACCCTAGTATGCTGATGCTGAAATTTCAGGATGAGACTATTTCTGAGTCAGGGGATCAGGAGAATCGAGCACATGGTGACGTGGGTTGTGACCAAAAAAGTGACCTTGTCATCATACGGAAATCGGTGGGCTGCTGGCTTGACAAAAGCCCATATATCTGGCGGGTTGATGGTGGTACTCTATGAGGCCGTTGATCATGTTGATCATGTCAGGTTTTTTTTTGTTTCTTACGACACGTGCCACTCATTGACATTCCTCACCACTACTCATGATCATCATGATCATCATGATAATATATGATGATAATAATGTTAATAATAATATAATAATAATAATAATATAATGATAATAACCATCATCGTAGATTTCATGATAATAATATATAATAATGATCATTGTCAAGATTAATTTTAACTTCAACTTCAAGCTCCCAGACTCCCAGAACTGGATGATCGGGAAAATGGGAAAATCGAACCCAATCAATTTGATGATATCTTTGGTTTAAAAAAAAAAACATGATTTCCAGTTGAGATGTCTCCTAATAAGCCAAGCCAAGCAATGAAAGATTTTTTTTAGCTGGAAGTAATCCATCGATCAACCTCACTTATTGAGAATATACATAGATGTTTTAGAATAAGCCCTCAGTGGAACTTTTTAAAGTTTTTTCATAGATACTCCAGCTGAGTAATATTTCGATAATCCATCGATACCTCACTTAGAAATATCTCAGTTCTTGGTATTTACCCTCTGGTAAACTAACATAACTATGGAAAATCACAGTTTTTAATGGGTAAATCAACTATAAATTGCCATTTTCAATAGCTATGTTAAATTACCAGAGGGTATAACCCCTCTGCCCCTAAGGAACTATAGATATATTTACCAAGAATCCAAGTGAACCACCGGGCTGAAGGCCTGCGCTACCCACACAAGCTTCTTCCCGGATCAAAGGCAGGACATTTCTTCGATTTGTATACGCAGTGGGATTTCATGGGGATTTTTTTGAAAGGGCTATTGAATGGGAAATATCATGGGATATGGACATATGCTAAACAAAAACTGAGGATATCAATCATGTGTTTACAGTTTCGCTTTATTTTTTTCCAGCCCTATTTGGGGTGAGTGGCCCAATTGCTTTGTTTTTCTTTGGATAGATGGCTTCATACAGTCGCTGAGTCCCTGGTCTTGATGATCCACCACTTTTTGAATGATTCAGAACTAAGGTACTTACAATGTGAGGCCCCCAAGATAGCTAAGTTGGTTTATAACTCCAATAACTATGGTTTATGGTACTTATAACTATAGTTACTGGGGCTTATAAACCAACTTATAACTGGGGGGGGGCCACATTGCATCTGCTAGTTCACTCCCTTCTGCTTTCATAACCTTCATATTTTTTTGGGAGGCCTCAGAAATGGCCAGGTCGCCCCATAGATTTCCCAAGAGTTTGATATTCGCTTCGCCACAGGCAAACAAGAGCAGGCCGACCTGATATCCCAGGAGCGATTTGCAAAGCGATCGTGGAGAGGAAAGTCAGATGTTTTGACATGTTTTGACCAACAATTCACCACAGAAGTACTAGGCTTCTAGGCTACTGCTAGACATGAACTGATGAACTGTGTGTATATTACATATATATATAATTATATATAGATATAACCTACGTGTTTGTCTGGGGCACAAAGAATCAAACATTGCCGGCTTAGCCACCCAAGAATTGACCATCCTGCCACGGGTTTTCATTGGCGTTCATCCTGCCCCGTTCCATCGCCAGAAACAGATGGGGTTCCAACTTATAAAACGTCCAATTTATTGGAGGTTTTATTAGTAACTATCATTAGCATATATCATATATTTGCAAATTTGTATATATATATATTATATTATATATATATCATATATCATATATATATATATATGTATCATATATATATATATGTATCATATATATATATATGTGGCATTAAACGTAAATCCCAAAAAATGATTCGATGAGATCCACTTCGTTCACGCGAACCACGCGAAGGAGCTCTTAGAAATGCTTCTGGGTGAGGCCGGGTGATGGGTATTTACGCACCAAATGTATGTTTTAATGAAGTTTAAGTGGAACATTTTTGGGCGGGTTAAGCAACCATAGGGATTACCATAGACATTAAAGCTCATTAAAGCATATTAAACTTGTTGGTGGTGACTGGAACATGGCTTTTATGACTTTCCATATATATGGGATGTCATCCTTCCCAACTGACGAACTCATATTTTTCAGAGGGGTTGAAACTACCAACCAGAACATCTTGGGGTTGTTTGGAAAATAGACTGTCTGCAATTATCATGGCTTATCATAGTTTGTCATGGTTGGGGAAGTTGAGGAAATTTGGAAGTTGGGATGATATGTGATACTGTGGAGTGACAAAATTATGCACCAGTTTTCGTAATTATTGTGTTTAGTGCACACTGTCTCTCAGGTAACATGTAGACGTCTTGAAAAGATTGAATCGCGTTCTCGTGTCAAGACGTTTCACCCGATCTACGAAATTGTGCAGTCAAACATCCCAATCATGGGATAAACCATCTACCCACTGGTGGGTTTTTGTCCATCCACTGTCTGATAAACGTCTGTGGCTAGACTGGATCGACCAGAGTTGGGATAGATCGCCCAGGCCTTGCAAGAATTTGAAGGCGCTTGCAACTTCTCCAGCCCTGTGGAGGACGTGCCCAGTTAGCATGGGAAGCATGCGGAAATGATAGGGGCAAAGCGGCAAATCCATCTGTTGAGTGGGAAAATGTGGGGGAATCAAGTTTTTTGAGTTGGAAATATTGGGGACATCCACTTTCTAAGTGGAACATAGGAGGAAATCAACATAAATCAACCCATTCAATGTGAAAAGAATATGGGAAGAGTTATCAATGCAGAAACATTTTGCCTTGTCCATTGCAAAGTTTGATCTCCGAAGGGTAATATGGGGTTTTCGGGTCGTGAAGAGATGAACTGGGGACCTAAAAATCATTGCACGACTCAGGCGAGGATATGTTGAATAAGGTGGTACACCCAATGCCAGAAACCCTCAATTTGGAATGGTTATCTGGTTGGTGGTTTCAAACATCCCAACTGACTAATATTTTTCAGAGGGATTGAAACCACCAACCAGCTATGTTTAAAACCAGCTATTTCGTTTGAAGTTGGATGAACATTAGTTATATTTAGCGGTTTACCACATCAAAACTAAGCCCGACTGTCATATTCCTCAAACTGTGAAGCATGGGAACTCACTTAGTGGGGAACTTCTCATTCCATTTTTTCCATTTCTGGCTAGACAACTAGACCCCCAGAAGTTGTTGACATATCACCGTAATGTGTTGAAACATTGGAATGAATTTTAGTGGTACAGATTCCCCCATGATAGTTGGTTTCGAACACCCGCAAGTACTTTTGTACTTGTTTCATCCGCACATCTTGCAGTGGCCCAACATCATTCACCCCCGAAAAAAATGGATGGTGTATCCTCTGGTAAACTCACATGATCTAACATAGCTATTGAACATGGCCATTTAGTTCTTTGATTGACCTATTGAAAATGGTGATGTTCCATAGCTATGTTGAGTAACCATAGGGTAACTACTTTTTTTTCATGAAACAACATTATTACCATGGATCCATCAATTGCAAAAAAAAAACGTATGGAACAAAAACATCGCATGCCCATTCGCTATATAATAGACTAGAACTATACAAAAATAGAACTATAACAAAACAAATTGTTGACTATTGAATTATGACGATAGTTATAGTTATGACTATACATAAATACAAATTGTATAACTATACAAATAATAGAGACTATAACTAGAACTATAACTATTAAATATCCATAACTATGCAAAAATCCGCTGGATCAGCACAAAATTCCCATGCTCCACTCGTCGCAGGAGGCACGCGTGAGCATTGGTTCTTCAGGGCCCAGCCCGTTGATCGCAGGTGGGAATTCGCGGTCGCTTAAAAAGGATTACCAGCTGGTTATTTAATGGTGATTTAATGGGATTTCATTACATTTATATAATGGGATTTAATACTGATTTTTAATGGGATTTAGATAAGGATTTACCCTCTGGTGATGACTAACAGTTTGCCTTGGAAAATTCGGAAAATCACCATTTTTTATAGGTAAACCATCTATGTTTATGGATCATCTATACCATGGCTATGTTAAATAACCAGAGGGTAAAAACAGAGAAATTGGATGATTCTACCAGCAAACAAAAATGCAGTTTTTCCGAGCTCTGTTCGATTTGCGGAGGGTAAGTTCTACTAGTTCTTTGGATTTTGCAATGTGTTCATGTTCCACTCTTCTAGTTTGCACTCATATTTGTGGATGGATTGAAACACCAGCTGAAGTTCACGCAAGTACTTGCTTGTCTAGAAGTCTCCCGATATTCGTCGGTTCTATGTCCATGCACATTCTATTTCCCCTTTTCTTGGCTGAAACACCAAGCAGATGATTTCGAACTAAATACTGTTGGCTAAGATTTGCCATTTTACATCCATTTGATTATGTATTTGTATACATAGTTATTTATAACATATACAAATATATATATATATACATATGTGCATCTAATATCATGTCTAGTAGATACCAAGCATACTTGCAATGCAGGTATAGTAATACTTGTTGGTAGAGGTAGCCATGATATCCCCATCAGACCCCTGTCAGCCTGTGTTGCACCATTCAGACCTCAGGACCCAAACCCATCGATACCTCAGAAGCTGTGGCTTCTTGGCGTAGAGTGTCCTGCAGGGTGTAGTTTTATTTGTTTGCCCAAACTGTTTGCCATAAAAGTAGGTGCTTCTATCATCACAAAAGTAGACGTGAAAAGTACTATAGGTGAAGTATCATTCTAACCATATACTTCTACTTCTATCCAATTCTATCACACCTCTTTGTGTTCTTTTTTTAGCAGATGACCTTGGAACCAGTGTGCTGCCCCACAAAAATCGAAAAAAAAAAGCACTAAAAAACGAATGGCAGAGTCGCCAAGGTGGGGCCCTTTGTAGATGCGGCCTTCCAACACTTCGGCGTAGTGGATGAGGCAAGTCCGGGGATGCAGCTTGTTGTTTGATGCGTATACCACTTCTGGTATGGAAATTCCTTGAAATTCATATGACTATGGGTCAAAATTAGGTACCCCAAAATTATGGATGGTTAATACTAAACTAGACTAACATCCATCTGTGGTTCCCTTAACGGTCTTCCATTTTGACTCACATCCATATCGTTTCTCCATGTTTCTCCAAGTCTGGTTGATGCCCCCATCTCCATTGGATACATCGTATCAATACAGAAAACAGCTTAAAAGCATGTAACAGATCACCGGGTATCCAATGATCTGCCCTTTAAGATATATATATATATATTGTACAATATCTATTGCACATATACAAACACTTGCTGAATGATACAGTAATCGCAATTGTGGCTGACGAAAAACGTTCCCTCCCGTCCCATCTTGCGCAGACTCAGCCGGTGGCGGGTCCTGTTCCTCCAGTAGAGGACGAGCGGCTATGCAGGTTATGTTTTAGTAACTTGAACATAGAGCTTGCGTGGATTTATTAAAAAGGTGGTCTTGATCAACAAATGTGGGAATTTTGTACGTTGACTTATGATACGTTGGTTTACTTTACCAAGGCCATGTGGCTTTTGCGGTGCATCTACACTTAGATGGTCAACCACCAACCAGTAATCTGGTAAGGGAAACATTCAAAACCATGATGCAGAAAGGGGGTTGTTCTTGAGTTTACCGCATGCATTTTTTACGTGACCGTGACCCTGTTTTAAGCACCACAGCCTTGCAGCTAATTCTCTGACCATGAATACAACAAAATTGGTGGGTCTGAAAATGCGCGGTATTCCCCCGAAATTGCCGTTGTAATGGGGAAGATGTAACAACCTTAGCAGGGGGTGGTAAATGTCCCATTTTGGGGACTTTGAACATCACCTTCAAGTAAGTATGTATTGAAGGTGATATATCCCCAATAGTTGGGTGGTGTGAAACATTACAGTAGGACATTTACCAAGCCCTAAACATAGGAGTACCTTATTTTCACACCCGAATGAATATAGTGGCTTCATGAAACACATTTGCCGAGGGACAAGTCGAGAAGTCACTGTCATAGTTCCTGCTCAACCCCGGTCTGGCATGCTATGCCACATGACAATGCAATGTTTCTAGGAAATTGTACCCTTTGGTTATTGATGTGACTATGACTAATCCTTCTCTTTGGCGGCTCCCCCCAACTTTTTCTTTGTTTACATAGCCTATGTTGTCCTTTTTGGTTCACTGTTTCACCAACAAAATTATATGCTAGCCAAGGTTAGTCATATTTATCAATATTTATCAATATTTATCCCAGGCACGCTTTATGTCCAAGCTTTTTCCAGAGCTGCCCTTGAGGAGTGGTTGCCGTCTGTCAAAGAGATCATGCGAAGTAAGGCAGCGCACGAGGCGCGCAAGCAGGGTGGCTTTGTGGCTTTGAACCACTTGGAATCTAGCACCTGAAGCAGCAGATGTTGAAACACATGACTTTGATGCCTATGTTTGTTTTGCAGCTGACTTTTTATGACTGAACAACTGGGTGTTTCTTCAACCATACCAATTTTGAAGATGGATGTGGCGGAAGATTGCATCCCGCAATCTCCTTTCCATCCCTTTCCTAAGACCCCTCCGGTCTGAGGGTCAATCTGAAGCATGCTGGTTTTATCAGTGTTGTCCCCATGTTTTTGTGGTCAATTTATTTTCCTTTTTAAACCTCAAAGACATCTATTGATAAGAAAGGATTTCAATTGAACTCAATTTACTTTCAATTCATTTGAATCTACGTTCAATTGATTTTCCTTTGAAACCTCAAAGAAATCTATTGATACTAAAGGATTTCAATTGAACTCAATTTACTTTCAATTCATTTGAATCTGCTTTCAATTGATTTTCCTTTTTGAACCTCAAAGAAATCTATTGATAAGAAATGATTTCACTTGAACAACTTCTCACAACAGAGCCTCCCCCCAGACAAACGGCAAGATACTCAATTGGGAAGGGAAAACATCTCACAATAGGGAGCCAGGACACTAATCGGAGCCCTACATTAATTTTATATATATATATGCATACCCATATAGTATTACCTGTACATAATGCATATTTTACATATATTACCTGTAAATAACACCAAATAATGCATTATATATAATGCATATCAATTATATAACCAAATAATGCTCCCCAAGTAGGTTATGGTGGGGAGATTTTTCACATCAGCCAGGATGCCGAGGAAGAGTCCCCGGAGGACACGGGTGATCCATGCAAATCCAAACTGGCAGACGTTACGGTCACGTTTTGAAAAGAAAACTTGGGATAGTAATAACCCTCTGGTAAACATACAAAAAGCTATTGAAAATGGCCATAGAAATAGTGGATTTACCCATTAAACATTGTGATGTTCCATAGTTAGGTTAGTTTACCAGAGGGTAGGTTATAATCCCAGTTTTGCTATAATATAATGATATGAAAATGGATTATAACATAACTGAGATGAAATTTATACTAAGTAGTATGATTAATGAACATATACTAACTTGGGATTTATCAAAATAAATTGGGATAACCATACTATGTATCAACCATACTTATTTATCAACCATACTATGTATCAACCGTACATATTGTATAGTATGGCACTTGGGAGAATAAGTGGCTGAGATTTATCAACCATACTAATGATCAACCATACCATCCTTTTATGATTGGTTGAGACGACAAGCATATTCTTGGGAAGGGTGAAGATTTGTGAAACAAAAACACCAATCAGCTGAAATCGTGTCAAGGGGTAGAGATCAAATAGCTATAAATGGTGGTTGAAATTGATCGAAATTCTGTAATAATTCTGGGGGTATAGAATCCACCACAGTGGGGGGATTTGTGGGATAGCACCTTGTTGTTGTGGATGTTGGTTAACAGACCCAAGAAGTAAACACAAACACAGTCAGGGGTCACCAGAATGAATGGTCTGGTTGAATGTTGATGACAAACATTATTTTGAAATGAACATTCCATGATATGGATGGTTTGATTTATGGGAAACCTCCCAGATGACCTTTGATTTATGGGTTTTTGCATCCAGAATGCACATCGTTCTGATGATTCACCAGGTTGAGTCGGAAAGTCTAGCGGAAGACCATGGGTTTAGCATCCAAAAGACAGGGATTCCCTGCAAAAAAAACGCCTGAAGCTGATTCTGAGCACGACTTTTCAGGAATTTTGGGGGTTCTATTGGGTTCTATTATTTACTTGAAGACGGATGACCCTCGTCCGTGAGCTCGGAATCCCGCCCGGAATCAAGATCATCAAGATCATCAAGCAGTACTTCAACTGAAAATCCAATAAAAATCCCATAAATCAATAAATCACTTGATGATCTCTAAGAATTCTACTCCTTTCTTGGCAGTTTTCGGCATTTCGGCGGTGATTTTTTGGAGACCTGGAGAAGACCTCCACCGTCGACCAGTCCCCCTTTTCCCATCTAGCGGACCTAGCTCTTGGAGGCAGCCGATTAGACATGTAGATTCTATGATAGATGGTGCAAAATGGATCAACAATGATTAACATGGTTCAAATCCATGATGTGCCAAAGCGACAAAAAAAACAAAACACCGGCCACGGCCCCTTTGAGTCTATCCGCTCCACTGATTCTTGATTATCATTTTCCATATGAACATGTCATAGATTGGGGGTACATCCCAGTCTTTTTGGCCTCATAATTTCCCACCTCTCAGACTGATCTCAGCCTTTCAGGACAGTGACCGTGCAGCTGCGATTGAAGGCTTCACACGCCTGTCGGGATGCCCGAATCAATTCTAAAAAACGATTGACCCCTTGCATTTTGAATGGCTCATGAATTGGATACCCTCTGGTAATTTAACATAGCGAACTGGAAAATCACAATTTTTAATGGGAAAATCCACTATAAATATCTATAAATGGTGATTTTCCATAGTTATGTTAGTTTACCAGAGGGTAATTCAATATAATCCATGGGGGTATCCTGACAAGCATCCACGATTTGTAGAGGACTAACAGTGACTAACACTTTAACATACTGAAATCATTGAAAGTTTATCGTTAGAGCTTTTGCACCATTGGGATTTCCCGTTGCAAAGGGGTGTACAGTTTTAGCGTTCTTGCTGAAGTGGCCATCAAGCGTCGCGTATGATCTCTGATTGGTGAAGGGGTTAGAACCCACTTGCAATCCAGATTTAATAGCTACAGTATCTACAGGAGACTGAGACAGCATTGGCTTTCAACCCACATCTCACCAAAAGGCCATGTCCGAACAGGCAAAGCTTTGGCATGTTGGCAAGCATGTTAGAGCCATTTTGTTTTTTGAGTTCAGTTATATAATGAATAAATTACGATTCAGAAACTTTACCCGATTCAGCAACTCCGATTCAGCAACTCCGATTCAGAAACTCCAAGGATTCAGAAACTCCGGGTTGTCCCGATTCAGCAACTCCACCCTGTCCCGATTCAGCAACTCCACCCTGTCCCGATTCAGCAACTCCACCCTGTCCCGATTCAGCAACTCCACCCTGTCCCGATTCAGCAACTCCACCCTGTCCCGATTCAGCAACTCCACCCTGTCCCGATTCAGCAACTCCACCCTGTCCCGATTCAGCAACTCCACCCTGTCCCGATTCAGCAACTCCACCCTGTCCCGATTCAGCAACTCCACCCTGTCCCGATTCAGCAACTCCACCCTGTCCCGATTCAGCAACTCCACCCTGTCCCGATTCAGCAACTCCACCCCCTCCCGATTCAGCAACTCCACCCTGTTCCGATTCAGCAACTCCACCCTGTCCCGATTCAGCAACTCCACCCTCTCCCGATTCAGCAACTCCACCCTGTCCCGATTCAGCAACTCCAACCTGTCCCGATTCAGCAACTCCACACCCTGTCCCGCATCCTTCCCTTGCATAGAGTTCTTATCAAGATTCCAAGTCATTTTCTAAACTTCCCCCCCCCAAAGCTCTGCATGCAATGGTATTCCTCAATGCACATCCTTCCCTTGCATAGAGTTCTTCTCACGGTTGCAAGTCTTTTTATAAACTTCCCCCCCCAAAGCCCTACATGCAATAGTAGTCATCAATGCAAATCCTTCCCTTGCACAGAGTTCTTGTCACGATTGCAAGTCATTTTCTAAACTTCCCCCCCCCCAAAGCTCTGCATGCAATGGTAGTCCTCAATGCACATCCTTCCCTTTCACAGAGTTCTTGTCACGATTGCAAGTCATTTTCTAAACTTCCCCCCCCAAAGCTCTGCATGCAATGGTAGTCCTCAATGCACATCCTTCCCTTTCACAGAGTTCTTGTCACGATTGCAAGTCATTTTCTAAACTTCCCCCCCCAAAGCTCTGCATGCAATGGTAGTCCTCAATGCACATCCTTCCCTTTCACAGAGTTCTTGTCACGATTGCAAGTCATTTTCTAAACTTCCCCCCCCAAAGCTCTGCATGCAATGGTAGTCCTCAATGCACATCCTTCCCTTTCACAGAGTTCTTGTCACGATTGCAAGTCATTTTCTAAACTTCCCCCCCCCAAAGCTCTGCATGCAATGGTAGTCCTCAATGCACATCCTTCCCTTGCATAGAGTTCTTGTCACGATTGCAAGTCATTTTCTAAACTTCCCCCCCCCAAAGCTCTGCATACAATGGTATTCCTCAATGCACATCCTTCCCTTTGCATAGAGTTCTTGTCACGATTGCAAGTCATTTTCTAAACTTCCCCCCCAAAAAGCTCTGCATGCAATGGTATTCTCTGAATGCGCATCCTTCCCTTGCATAGAGTTCTTGTCACCATTGCAAGTCATTTTCTAAACTTCCCACCCGAAAGCTCTGCATGCAATGGTATTTCTGAATGCGCATCCTTCCCTTGCATAGAGTTCTTGTCACCATTGCAAGTCATTTTCTAAACTTCCCCCCCCAAGCTCTGCATACAATGGTATTCCTCAATGCACATCCTTCCCTTTCATCGAGTTCTTGTCACCTTTGCAAGTCATTTTCTAAACTTCCCCCCCCAAAGCTCTGCATGCAATGGTAGTCCTCAATGCACATCCTTCCCTTGCATAGAGTTCTTGTCACGGTTGCAAGTCATTTTTATAAACTTCCCCCCCAAAGCTCTGCATACAATGGTATTCCTCAATGCACATCCTTCCCTTTCATAGAGTTCTTGTCACCATTGCAAGTCATTTTCTAAACTTCCCCCCCCCAAAGCTCTGCATACAATGGTATTCCTCAATGCACATCCTTCCTTTTCACAGAGTTCTTGTCACGATTGCAAGTCATTTTCTAAACTTCCCCCCCTAAAAGCTCTGCATGCAATGGTATTTCTGAATGCACATCCTTCCCTTGCATAGAGTTCTTGTCACCATTGCAAGTCATTTTCTAAACTTCCCCCCCCCCAAAGCTCTGCATGCAAGGGTAGTCCTCAATGCACATCCTTCCCTTTCATAGAGTTCTTGTCACCATTGCAAGTCATTTTCTAAACTTCCCCCCCAAAGCTCTGCATGCAATGGTAGTCCTCAATGCACATCCTTCCCTTGCATAGAGTTCTTGTCACGGTTGCAAGTCATTTTTATAAACTTCCCCCCCCAAAGCTCTGCATACAATGGTATTCCTCAATGCACATCCTTCCCTTTCATAGAGTTCTTGTCACCATTGCAAGTCATTTTCTAAACTTCCCCCCCCAAAGCTCTGCATACAATGGTATTCCTCAATGCACATCCTTCCCTTGCATAGAGTTCTTCTCACGGTTGCAAGTCTTTTTATAAACTTCCCCCCCAAAGCCCTGCATGCAATGGTATTCCTCAATGCAAATCCTTCCCTTGCATAGAGTTCTTGTCACCATTGCAAGTCATTTTCTAACCTTCCCCCCCCAAAGCCCTACATGCAATAGTAGTCATCAATGCATACCTTCCCTTTCACAGAGTTCTTGTCACGATTGCAAGTCATTTTCTAAACTTCCCCCCCCCAAAGCTCTGCATACAATGGTATTCCTCAATGCACATCCTTTCCTTTCACAGAGTTCTTGTCACGATTGCAAGTCCTTTTCTAAACTTCTCCCCCCCCAAAGCTCTGCATGCAATGGTAGTCCTCAATGCACATCCTTCCCTTTCACAGAGTTCTTGTCACGATTGCAAGTCATTTTTATAACTTCCCCCCCCCCAAAGCTCTGCATGCAATGGTAGTCCTCAATGCACATCCTTCCCTTTCACAGAGTTCTTGTCACGATTGCAAGTCATTTTCTAAACTTCCCCCCCCCCAAAGCTCTGCATGCAATGGTAGTCCTCAATGCACATCCTTCCCTTGCATAGAGTTCTTCTCACTCGGTCCGGTTCCCATTCTACGGCATGCCCGGCACACCCTGCCTATAGATTTCCTATTTTTGAAACTTCCGCCACCGCCTTGCGCAGTACTACTGGTAATTTCTCATTTATTTTCTAGATTGTGTATTCCCTTTCAATTATATATATATATATCTACAGTATAAAGTATACACATATTCTGTATATATTCTTGATGGCAATGAGTTTTTCTGGAGTCTGCAGGTTTCATTTGAACAGTAAAATCTCAGTAACTTTTACGCGCACAAATCCCCGAATTTTCCACTAGCACTGTATAGCAGCTATAGCAGATTCAGCCATCACCTGGAAACATGAATGACCAGCTGCCGATGACGTGGCAGAGCATAGTGTACAGTAGGATGTCGTGTTTGGCGGAGGCGGAATAGTTATGGGAACTCAAAGTAGATCAATGGACCGTTGTCGCCCATTCTACATGCATATCATGCATATAGACCATATACACTCCAGATATAAAGGAATTGTTCACTTGTCCGCATTCTCACTGTTTGCGTCAAGTGATCATTGGTATAAATCCTGCTGCTGTAAGTTTGACAAGGCATCAGCTGCACTTGCATGTAAGTGATTCCCAATGATGGGAAACACCAGTCAATATTGGGATACATTGGATTCGTGTATGATCAACCATTCGGATTGCATCAGTGAGTCTATACATATAGGAGATCAGTTTGCATTTTCAGATCAATCCGACGAACTACATCCGGAATGTTCTTTTTTCCACAATGCAGTTTGTTTTTTTTGAGATCTCGGCGCTGGGAGTTTCCACACCAATGCTATTTCTAAATCCCAAATTCAAGTTTCCGAATCCAGGGGGAGCCGCAACTTTCCGTATCCGAAGGCCTTGAAGTTTCCGAATCCGAGGGCCTGGAAGTTTCCGAATCCGTGTCTTCGAAGTTTCCGAATCCGGGGGACAGCGAGTTTCCGAATCCGACGCCCTGGCAGTTTCCGAATCCGCGGGCTTCGAAGTTTCCGAATCCGGGGGGCAGGGAGTTTCCGAATCCGAGGGCCACGGAGTTTCCGAATCCGTGGGCCTTGAAGTTTCCGAATCCGAGGGCCTGGAAGTTTCCGAATCCGAGGGCCTGGAAGTTTCCGAATCCGTGGGCTTCGAAGTTTCCGAATCCGGGGGGCAGCGAGTTTCCGAATCCGACGCCCTGGGAGTTTCCGAATCCGTGGGCCTTGAAGTTTCCGAATCCGAGGGCCTGCAAGTTTCCGAATCCGAGGGCCAGGAAGTTTCCAAATCCGTGGGCTTCGAAGTTTCCGAATCCGGGGGGCAGCAAGTTTCCGAATCCGCGGGCCACGGAGTTTCCGAATCCGTGGGCCTTGAAGTTTCCGAATCCGAGGGCCTGGAAGTTTCCGAATCCGAGGGCCTGGAAGTTTCCGAATCCGTGGGCTTCGAAGTTTCTGAATCCGGGGGGCAGGAAGTTTCCGAATCCGAGGGCCAGGGAGTTTCCGAATCCGTGGGCTTCGAAGTTTCCGAATCCGAGGGCCTGGAAGTTTCCGAATCCGACGCTAAAGTTTCCGAATCCGGGGGGGAGGGAGTTTCCGAATCCGAGGGCCTGGGAGTTTCCGAATCCGACGCTGAAGTTTCCGAATCCGACGTTGGCCGTTATATAATACTGTAGTAGTAGTTCCATGTTAGTTGTTCAGATGTTTTCAAGTGGCTAACCACTTTCTGGTGTCAGATGCTTCTGGATCGGGGATTTTTTCCACTTCCAAACTCCTGAGATCATCAGCTTAGGCTTGCAGATGCTTTGCTGGAGATTGCTAGCGAAGAAGTCAAGGAGACGGCAAAGCCGTTTTGGTCACCCCTGTTTGTTACCCTGGGTAAACTAGCATAGATGTGGGAAAACCACCATGTGTAGATATTTTCTTAGGGTAACCATGGGTTTTCCACATCTATGTTCTTAGTTTACCCTAGGGTACCATACAAGATTGGAATAGTCTCAAGTAGGAAACTCATCCACGTATTGCCGACATTTGAAGTTGAAGAAATATGATGGTAATATTGGATCTACTCGAAGGCCAATATATTACTGTATAAACCAACTAATCCATCCAATAGGCTTTCCGTGGGACAAAAATTATCCGTAGCCAACGGAAAAATGACTGCCATGACGCCCTCAATAGCAAATCACAGGCTTTACTTCAAATGGGTACAGTGCTGCGAACTTATGATGCGTGGATAAACGAGGTCATTCGGATATGTGACTGATGATCATCCCAGTATCAAGATCTTCCTAGGCATCATTCATGTTGCTGTGCAATCCTATGTGCAGAATAGTTCGAAGTGCGGGTTTGTAGCAAAAAAAATGGGACTCCCAAACTAAATGATTCAAAAAGTTAAACCCTAATTTCAATTTCCATCAAACTTGCCACAAATCATCACAAATCCCAGATATGCCACACGTTTGGACAGACTCATACCATATAAAAATTGTTGGTTAGATCCCCATTTGACCCTATGACATATCATATTACCACCATAAAATGGTGTGCGTTAGTTATTATTTATCACAAAGTTCCCATAGACGCCAATTTGTCACAAAAACGCTTCAAAACCTTCCCAATTTCCAAAGTAGTCTCCCCATGTCTCCCCAATATCACCATCATATTCCCATTCTAAACCAGTTATATTTGATTTATGTCCCCATTATATCATCATATATTCCCATTATAAATATATAATATAATAATCATCTAACATCTGTGAATTAAATACCAAATATATCCGCTAACACCAATAGTCTATAACTCATGTGAAATGTAATTCACTATTCAATATTCATACTTGGTGTATTGTTGCAATATCATATAACCTATGATTGTATGATAATATATTAACATTATATATACGTCTATATATATATATATATGCGGATATTATTCATGATTCATAGTGACTATCAGTATGTTATATAATTCCTTGGGATTCCATATTTGATTTCCAAGGAATTGCACACTTCTTGGGATTTCCCTCCGTTTCGTCGCAGGAGCAAGGTCCGCGTGTCATGGGTTGGCGACGACCCTGCTTTGGAGAAGCTCCTCTGTCACGCTTTCGAGAGAAGCAGGCGATGGGATGGTGATTTGGGGTAGAGAAATGCCCTAAATTTCAAGGGAATTTGATATGGGTTTCTCTGAAGGTATAGCCTATATAGCTCTCAAAATTGCAATTTCATGAGGATAATGATGATTCACCGAATGGAACGGAGATATAGCTGCGGGTAGATATGGATCCATAAGTTCCCACCTTTCCCAGTGGCTGTGAACAGAAAAGTTAATTTAACAGGGTTTTGACCCATACGCATATTTAAAATTACGAGTTCAATGAACAAACAGTTGGGACTTTAACAAGAATCGATTGGGTTTTCGATCAACATGAATGGTTGCAATTCCTCTCAGAGAATGTGTGATGGTTAGCGTTTACCAACATGATAGTGGTGCAAACCCTTTCGAACTTGGAGCAATTTTGGATGTATCCCACTTCAACGCTATCGGTTGATATCGAACGCATGATCGAAAAGTTTGATCGCCAGCAATAACCTCAAGACACTTTTAGATCACAAACACATAAAACCTAGTACACCCATCTAAGCTAACCAGGTGGGTGACTTCTAACATAGCTATGGAAATGGACCATTTATAGATGATTTACCTATTAGAAATGTTTTTTTTCAGTCCGCTATGTTAAATTACCAGAGGGTACATCCATGTAAATCAGCATTAAATCCCATCTGGTTGGTGGTTTGGAACATTTTTTTTCCATTCAGTTGGGAATGTCATCATCCCAACTGACGAACTCATATTTTTCAGAGGGGTGGCGAAAAACCACCAACCAGTTGTAATATGTTATAATAAATGGCTGATTTATCCAGATGGATGTTATATATAAACCATATATCCATATGAATCATATTAGACCCTGCCATTCCAATGTGCCATAGATGTCCTTTGCCTGCCATGAAATCACCATTTCTGGAGGGATGTTTGTATTCCCTCACCTGGACGCAGGCACAGGAGGGCTTGACCTCTTCGCAGAAGCAAACCTGGGAGAAGGCCTTCCGGGTGGAGGGGCACCGTCATGGTATTCCAATGGCTGCCATTTTTGTTTGCAGTCTAGGTATTTTATCTGGTTGGTGGTTTGTTTTATTTTTTTATTTTCCATTTCATATATGGGATAATCCCTCCCATTAACTAATATTTTTCGGAGGGGTTGAAACCACCAACCAGTTATGCATTCAGCTTAGCAGGGAATTTTCGGGAATGATCCACTGGCTAACTATCAAGAATCATCCCAGCAACCCCCAGCAACCCATCCATTCCCTACGTTTAGCACCGCACCAGTAAGATTTTATGCATTCAGCCACGGGTTTCTTGTTCTGCCCCTCCGTTACTTCGAAAGAGACTAAGCCTAAGCACAATAGCTGGATGGTTTAGAATGGAAAATCTGAATCTAAAGTGGATGATCACTAGGGGTACCCCCATGACTTAGGAAACCTCATTTCTTTTCTGGATGTAGGGGGTAAACAATATTGGGAAGGGATGAAGCTTCATTCAACTACAATGTGAACACATGTATACCCATACCCATAAATTATCATAAATATGTACTTTTTGTTTAAAGAAATGATACATCTTGGCGGAGATGTGGACCAAAAGGCCCTTCTTTGATGGTTCATGTTCCCAATTTGCATGGTCAATTTCTTGTTGAATCTCAAGCTATATCCCCTAAGTAAAGTGAAACTGGTTGTGTATGCTATGTTCATGCTGGTTCTCTTTCTTCCCAACGAACAAAAACACCGTTTCTGCTGCTTGGAATCCCACTTTTCCTGAAAAAATATGATCTTCTCAGTTGGAGCCGCAGATTTGCTGCGATATATATATATATGTATACACCCTCTGGTTATTTGACGTAGCCATGGCTATAGATGGCCCATTTATGGATGATTTTCCCACTAAAACCCCCATGAAAAATAGGGATTTTCCATGGCTATGTTGAATTCTCAGATGGTATATATATATATATATATTCTGGAAAATCTAAGTCTTCCAGTGTTTTGCCACATCCCAAATACATCAAAATCCCCCAACTCCAATCAGGTTCGATCCCCAACTTTGCCATTTGCCATCCATTAAGTTTTTCCTCTAAAAAGAACACAATCCATCCCACATCCATCCACAAAAATCAAATACACCTCAAAATTCCCTAAGTAAGTGGAGGTTTAAATATGGTTTAATGGTAAAATCATCTATAAATGGGTTGGATTTCACAGCAGATTCCAGATCTCAGGTGCGAGCCAAACTGACGGAGCAAGTGCGCTTCGGTTGGCGAACGGAGGTCGGATGTTGACCGTTGACGGAGGGGTGGGGGAATGAAGCTCCAAGATGATTTATAGAGTGATGACCCTTAACAGGTCATAAACGAGTTTATATTTTATAATGATATATATATTAATATAGCCAACTAGTTTTTAGAAGTTATAATTCCATTTAATACTGTTAAAAGGCCGTAACTGTATGATTGATATATAGGGATTTTTACTATCAACAGACTCCAATTTTTCTAGGATGGTATAAGCTGGTTTTTCATGGAAGTGTCATGGGAAGATCATGGATCATAATATGTTTTTTTTTTTTTTTTATGACCTCGACTCTGACCACTAAAATCATGCTTAGGATTCAGGGAATTATTCCCAGCCGCAAGTTTCAGGTTAGTGAACTGTTACAATTGACCCAGATTAATAGGGATTTTAAGTAGCAACAGATGGGGATATCTACAGTAAGTGATAAATTAACTGGTTGGTGGTGACTGGAACATGTTTTATGACTTTCCATATTAATTAGGAATTTTATCATCCCAACTGATCAATCTTTTTCAGAGGGGTGGCGAAAAACCACCAAGCAGTTATGGTTGATGATTCTGGAGGATGATCTCGACCGATACTGGTACATTGGGAATATCACAATCCATGCCCACGGATTAAAAAACAAAAATCCCCTTTTTTTGGATATCGCAATATACAGGGCCTCAAGTCCTGAGATAAATTTGATTTTCAGACACATCCAAATCATAGTTCGATGATTATACATCATTCCAAATATGGTTACTAATCTTTGGGGATATATTTGAAGGTAATATCCAAATTCAGATATCATCTTAATACCAGAATTTTCTTATATATATGTTTTTTCAAAATATATCTGGTATTTTCTGGAATTAATAAGAAACATCCTATATATTTAAAAATCCCCAGGTTTTTCTTTATATTTTCAGACGAAAAAACCTAGGTCTCGGATGTCACTGATGTCTCGCAAATCGCAGGCTGCTGAAGAGACTTCGGCAGTGTCAGGCACGGGACACAGGACCAGGTCGAAAAGGGACGTGCAGATCATATGTATCTCGCCCTCTCTAATATATTATGTTTATAAGAGTTATGAGTATAAGTAAATACAAAAATATCTATATATAGACATATATATTTATGAATCATATGAATGTAATATTTATGTGCACATGCACACCTACCTACATACATACCTAACATATATACATAGCTGCATACAAACATACCTTCATACATATATACATACATGTGCATGTGTATATATATATATATAATATGTATATACATAATTTGACCGAACAACAAAGCAATATTTTGCATAATGGCATATTAAGATTACTTTGAAGTTAGAACCATTTGTTGGCGAACCATTTGTGGAACCATTCACCGAAAGAACAACTTGATTTTAAAATCATTTGTGCCACGCAGCTTTCTGTTGCTGAAGTTACAAGGGATTTGTGGTTGACTTTTCACTTTCGGGAAACTCAGCAACAAGCCATCAACCCAAATAAAACATGTATCGTTTTTCAAAGATACACCTTAGACCTTGTATAGAGTCTATGAGGATATGACTTCTTTACCACATTTATCAACACATGAGTGTATGTTGTTTGTGTACGTAAGCGCCCAAAACGAAGTGCTCAACCAACAAACCGTACCTTTCAGGCGTCCAAGCTGGAAGAATGACCATCGATCTTGAAGCCGGTGCTGCAGGCAAGCATTGGAATTGGAGGGCTTCATATTGCCTAAGGGAAAAAAGGTCATAACTGCCATAATTCAATGCTTGCTGATTTCCAGGTGACAAAGATGTTTGGAATGCCATGTTGTCTATTGACCGATCGTTGGCACGGAGATGTTTCAGCACTGAACATAGGCGATACAAGCCAGATAACCATATGGGAGCAACTGGTTTGTACAACCAATGGTTTGTATAACCAATGGTTTTTGTACATATGTACCAACATAGGTGTACAAAGGTGTATACACATATCTATACATATTACGTGTCATATATATATATAATTATATCATGTATATGTGTATATATTACATATATATATATATACACATATATTTTACCTATATATATATAACCTATATATATATATATATTACCTATATATATATTATATATTACGTATATATATGTATATATATATGATATTATATATGTATCTTATATTCGTATATCTTACATATATATATATTACAAATATTACATATATATATATTACATATATTACATATATATATATATACATGTTGTGCCATATATATATATATATTACATATATACATATGTATTACATTATTATATATATACATGTTATGCCATATATATATATATGTATACTGTATACATATTACACATCTATACACTACATATATATATATACACATGCATAATATATATATATACACATATGTATATTATTACATATATATATATACATATGTATATTATTACATTTATATGCATAGGTGTGTATATATATAATGTATTATTTGTCCATGTATCTATGTATATATATATATACATGTTTACTTTCACTGATTATGCTCTTGTGATCTTTAACAAAAACAAGGGTAAAGCATGTCACCTTCACACCACTTGTCACCTGAGGCGCCTTGGCTTTAGCCAACCTCGATCCAGGTGCGAGACATTTCTAGCGACCATGAGTCCTCAAAACGGGTTCCTATATCGTTGGGTCCCCTTCAAAAATGCCATTTGATAAAACAACAATGTTTGATGGTTCAATCTCTGTACGAGCTCTGTTATCACCATGTTTTTATCCCGTTCTTGTGTTTTTTTAAAGGTCAAGTGGGGGGGGTTGGATCACCGAAAAAAAACAACCGGTTTCGGCGAGGCATTGACGCACTTCTAGAGGAAGAGATTTGTGGCAAGCTGAGATGATGGGAAGGTGACCAAGAATGGGGTTTTGCCATGGTCTATCCATGAAAAGTGTGGATTTAACCAAAAATGGGGGATGGGGGATGGCCCACCGATTTATGGTCAGCTTTTCATGAGAAAAAAGGATTGAAACACTTGAACAAAAAACCATCAAATGTTGAAAACCGTATGTGCAAACAAGAAGCTATAGAAGGACCCAAGAAAGATATGAACTGTTCTTGCACGATTCTATAGATGATGTGTTTTTCTTACCTCGACTCATCATTTCCGCATATCAATGAACTCTTGACTCCAGAGCAGGGAATGACTTGACTGAACTCTGTGAGGCGGGTGTCTCAACATGTCCTGTCCATCAAATTTCTGAAAGTCTATGATGTCTATGCAACAAGTCAAATGTCACGAAAATATTTGGAATCACTGAAATAAGACTCCTTGTTTGGAACCTCTACAGGCCAGCGGCTTTGAACCTCCCGGGCCCGAGGTAGCGATGAAGCTTCATGGTTGGACATCAAAGCCGATGTGCAGAAGGTGAAGAACGAGGCACGATGATTGCAGGGACGTGGTGAGATACCCTGTCATGAGGATGGATCAAAGGATCAAAGGTACAGTTGATTTTACCGTTATACCGTTGTAGCATCTATTATGCCACATTTGGGGAAGAAGAATATCTATGGATACCACAATTGTTGTTTTTTTTGGATAAACATCTAGGTCTAGGTACAGCAGCTATTTTTGGGTGAAGAGAAGGGTACTGGTCATCCAAGTGGCAAGATCCAAATGATCGGGAAAGTCAAAGGTTACTCGGATCCTGTTTAAATGATTCGGATCATATTATGTTCATATGTCCAAGGTTAAACAAATGGCATTCTTAATCTTGTTTAAACTTCCTGCATTTGTCCTAGAATCATCTCCCTTCAGCAATCCTTCCTCTGCATACTATGAATCACAGGTTGCGAGGTGGCTTCAATGCTTTCTTCATTTTCAGTCGTTTTTGGGAGGATGATACCTTGTCCGCTCTCATATTGTTTGCATGTGCGCCCAAAAACCAAGCACACGTTTAATGTCAAATTTGTACTGAGACCTGGCGTGCTTCAAGGTTCCCCATTTACAGATTCTATGTCCACTCAATAATTAATAAGTAATACATGAAGGTTTCCTAAGAAGGGGGGAACCCCTAAAATGCTGCATTTTAAGATGTTCCATTGGAAAACATCCAGCTACTGGGATAGCCCCATTTATGGAACCCCCTTGATATCGCCGCTGAGCCGATCTTGGAGCTCAAAATTCTGCCTTCATTTTGGGACGGTTATGGTTAAAAAAAATATGCAAAGTTAGGTCGCCATGCACAATGTGATGCCTACTCAGCTAGATTTGGAAGTAGGTTATTTAGTGTTGGCTTTGTGGTTGTGTAATACTACATAAACATTATATATATATATATATGCTCGGTTTACAAACTGGCATCATAATCATATCTGAAAATTGGGTATACCGATTCCATACACAGGTTACTCATCATTGTTCCTATTGAAATACGATGGTTGATCATAATATTTCCCATTAACGTTTTTTTTTTTTTAAAAAATAGGTATTGCAAATTTTCAGACATATCCAAATGTCATATTGGTGCTTGTATATATATATAAATAATACATATATAGATATGTATATATTAAAATACATACAATAATTATCCCATATATCACCATTATTATGGATATTATATCCTCAATGTATGGTGGAGTTATGATATTTGACAATTGTAGTTAAGTATTAATATATTTAAGACTTTATTCAATTATATAAACTGGTTGGTGGTTTGGAACATGAATTTTATTTTTCCATATATTGGGAATGTCATCATCCCAATCTGACGAACTCCATCATTTTTTCAGAGGGGTGGCGAAAAACCACCAACCAGATATATATGGTCCCGTGTCCGGTGTTCCCCCCCCCCCCCATGGGATGGGGGGGGGGGTATGATGCCCCTGTGGTGGTGTATATACATACATACATACCTACATACCTACCTACCTACCTACCTACCTACATACCTACGTACATACATGCATACATACCATTACATTACCTTACTTTACATTACCTTACCTTACCTTACATTACCTTACCTTACATTCCATACATACATACATACATACATACATACCTACCTACATACCTACATACATACATACATACATACTACATACTACATACTACATACATACATACATACATACATACATACATACATACATACATACATACATACATAGATACATAGATACATAGATACCACATAGATACTAGATAGATCAGATAGATAGATAGATACATACATACCTACATACCAACATACCTACATACCTACATACCAACATACCAACATACCAACATACCAACATACCAACATACCAACATACCAACATACCAACATACCAACATACCAACATACCAACATACCAACATACCAACATACCAACATACCAACATACCACCACCACAGGCCACAGGGGGGGGGACCAGAAGAACCATACGATACTGTCCACCCATACCCAGGGGGGGGGGACCAGAAGAACCAGACGATACTGTCCACGCATACCCATTGGTGGGGGGGGGGAGCGGGGGTGGCCAACGCTGCACCATATATATATATACATACATACACATAATTCCCAGTATATACCCATCATATACCCAGACAACTAGTTCCCCCTGGTTTTCCCGTAGATTTTCTTCATTCCCTCAGCATAGTGAACTATTAACTATCATCATTAACTATCATCATTATTCAATGATATAACTAGTTCCCCTGGTTTTCCCGATTTTCTTCATTCCCTCAGCCCCCGCTTTTCGTTCAAACCGTCGTTTCTCAACGGTGGGCTTTTCGTTTCGTCGTGGCGGCAACTTTCGGCTCGAGGTGGCTCGGATGATCTTCCAAGACTTGCTGGAGGAACTGGCCAACGAGATCGCCCGGCTGTGGTCTGCCGGGAATCCCCAGCAGGATCTGCCGTGAATATGACCGGGACCCGGGGGGTTTACCCGGGTCAACCTACAAAAAGCAAACTGGAAAATGGCCAACATGGCCCAGTCGAAATAGTGGATTTAATGATTTACCTATGAAAAATGGTGGATCTTTCCAATATGTTCCATAGTTTTTTGAAAAATGTTTACCAGAGGGTATATGGGTTTATGGTATTGAGTTTACATGATCATGAACGTATATTCAAGTTCTGGTCAGCCCCTCTAAATCGTCATTGTATCCCTATTTGTCATTATTTGGCGACCTACGAGACTCGACCCAATGATTTGTTGGCTATTTCTACAATAACCTCGTTTTATATTCACGTTTGTTGCGTACGCCCTATTTGGTTCTTGTGTCCAATGCGCAAAGAACAACAACATATCAGTTTCATTCATTTTTCTTCGTGAAATCGTGTGAACTTCCGATGTTGGCTGGTGATTTCCCAGTAGCATCATGTTTATTTTGTTGATATGTATACATATAGATAGATTAGGTAGATAGATTAAATTATATATATATATACATAGATAGATAAATAGATAAATATGAACAGATAGACAGACAGACAGACAGACAGACAGACAGACAGATAGATAGATAGGCAGATAGATAGATAGATAGATAGATAGATAGATAGATAGATAGACAGACAGACAGACAGACATACAGGCAGGCAGGCAGGCAGACAGACAGATAGATAGATAGATAGATAGATAGATTGATATCTATATATATATACATATATATATATATATGTGGCAGGGACCTTTGGGGTCTATTTCGTTCGTTGGCGTAGAACACTACTACTACTACTACTACTACTCCTACTCCTACTCCTACTCCTACTCCTACTCCTACTCCCTACTACCTACTACCTACTACCTACTACCTACTACCTACTACCTACTAGTTTCTACCTACTAGTTTCTACCTACTAGTTACTACTACTACTACTACTACTACCACCACTACCAATACCACTACCACTACCACTACCACTACCACTACTACTACTACTACTACTACCACTACTACTACTACTACTACTCCTACTCCTACTACCTACTACCTACTACCTACTACCTACTAGTTTCCACCTACTAGTTTCTACCTACTAGTTTCTACCTACTAGTTATTACTACTACTACTACTGCTACTACTACTACTACTACTACTAAGTTGGAAATAACAGCCCTTCACCCTGATTTAGGGGTATCTTCAATCTTCCTTAGTATCACAAACTAATCCTTTTATCCCAAACTAATCCTTTTATGAGGGTATGGTCTATCTATTTTGGAAGGTGTCCAAGATTGTCCAATCAATAAGCCTTCATTCAAACGTGATTTTTGATTCATCAACTTATGGGGGGTTCTATTACAGGCGATCCTAACAAGCATGTGTTTCAATACTAACATGGTCCAACTTGGATGGTTTGGGAGTCCTTCCATTGTAGGAAACTTCAATATGTTTGTATCTTCGGTTTCGCAAAACACACTCCTTGCAAGTTGAAAACGTTTACTGTGGCCCTAAGGACACCGTTTACCACCTCATTCCGACAGTTAAAGCCCTTTACCAGTTTTCGATGGTTGTAAATGGTCGTAAATGGTTATAGGTGATGCTATCATTCCATACATGGGGTTGAAACTAACTTATATCTCATAAAGGGATGTAACTTTACCCGAACCTCCTGCAGTGTGGCACAACAATGCAAACTCATGGATCGAAGGCCTTCATGGATGACAGTCTCACTTGGTAGCTGGGTAGTGACCCTATGGCTAATAAGTTTCCTAAAATCCAATTACTTCACCTTTATAATTCAAGTCTTCTATCAGTGACAGCAGTCATACTAATCAAAAACTAAGAGCGATTGTTGTCCCAAGGTCTGAAGCAATCACGAACGTGGCTGACATTTTGTGGCTCTGCTGAACGTTTCCTGCAAAACGTTGGCTTTCATCACTTTAGTTGTTTCCAAACGAAACCACCAGCAATGCTCGGACGTGCCGGTCATGGAGTGCTGTTTCACACAGCCTACCGGTCTTAGAAGCAAAAGAAAAACAAGACGATCCAGCACCAACCTGTGCTTCAAAGTTCGAAGCCAACATATGTATTCATATTTCATCACAAGAGCAGGGATCATCAAGACTGAAGCACCGGCCATGGAGTGCCATGCTGTTTCTCACAGCCTACCGGTCTTCAGGGAAGGGAAAACAAGACAGCCCATCGCCAACCTGTCCTTTAGAGATGTTTAAAATTTGTCACGAGAGCGGGGATCCGTCATCGGAAGTACAAAAATAATTTGGTGACATGTTAGCTGTTGCAAACTGTATGAACAGGATGGCCAAAAAAAAACTAGCTATCAGTCATCCCAAACTGCTTCCGGCCATGCTTTCTCAGCGGCCTGTGCACTTTTGGTTCCTTTGAACCTTATCACCAACATCTGGCCATCAGAATGGTGGTGCAGCACCTCACCTGAAGAGGCAATCCGCAGCAAGTCTGGAAGGAGATTCCCGTGTGTGACACCCCCCTTGGAAATTCAAGACTTAGTTTCGGGCTGCTTTATGAGTGCAGGTGGTTTGCAGCTTCAACCATTTATGAGCTATCAAGCTTTCATTTTTTGCTAGGGCGCAAGATTCAGAAAGACTTCCCCTTATAACAATAAGAAATTCCTTATTCCAACCTCCCTCGCCCTTTCTCCCATGCACACGTATGTTTACATGGCAATGTCTTTCTTCATCGTAGTGTGTTTTTTAAAAATAAAGCGATGCCTGATGAGACTACAGGGCTGACTAGTTTAGTAATTCCATACCATTGATGACCACCAAAAAAATATAACAATACATTATTTCCCATTACTATATATTATTGTAAATCATCACTTTTTGGGGCTCCCATAGGGAAAGATAACCTTGTGGATGCTGGTCTAAGTGTGTACCCTTAGCTTTAAAAATTGAGATGAGGGCCACATGCTGAGATAAAAGCATACTTAGATTATGGGATGAAGGTTGGGTCTACACCATGATCTAAATAGAATCCTTCCTATGACTAAACGTTCTCCTAATGAGAAACTTAAGGTTCGTTCCCTTTTTTGTGGAAGTAGATGTATTTCATTGCGTTTTTTCAATCCTGCTACTTGAAAAGTAATAGGGGACCAGTAGTCACGTCCCAAAAATGTGATTCAGCTCCCCTAAAATTAAAACTAGCTATTAGCAACTGGGGTCCCAGCTCACCATCGTCACTGCCTTGCACATAATTGGTACATTTTTTGAATATAAACTTTTCCTCGCCAAATACTTCCTCTAATAAGAACAACAACAATAACTACTGCAGGTGTTGACAATTTGGCGGGTCCACCGTTTAGTATCATAGAGGGACAGATATGGACAGATAATGAATAAAATACACCCGGTACAGTACCGTGATTTAAACCATGTTTGGGCCATGCAACCTACCATCAACCCAATCCAACCCCCAAGCCAGACACACGCGGACAGGATGCCGTATAGCTTCGCGCGGCTGAGCGCAGCCTCGATGTCATTCGTCACCACCTTCACCCGGCAGCGCGTTTCACGGCGGGGGGATCGCTCACGTCGAGCTGGCAGCATGACGGTGGCTTCCGAAGGAGGGCTGCCAACCTGAGCCACGAAAAGACGAAAGGCGTCGGGTGACTGGAAAAACTAAAGCACGATGTATGTAGCCACTTTGTTCCTTCACGTGTACTAGGTTCTGAGAAAAGGTCAGATCTGCTCGTTTGCAAACAAAGCAAATGCTGGAGCTTGGATGAGCCGCGCATACAAGTTGCAAAAGATGTCTGTCGGCATCCATTTGAATCTTTGTAGCTAATTACATGGGCACAACACAAATGCACATGATATGCACATGATCCCCCTTGGAATTCGGCAGCCCCACAATCTCACCAACTCTTGAAAAATAAAAGGGTTCCAAAGATGTGCCTTTCATACGCAGCCCCAAAAGTAGCAACCCCTCTATAGGGAGCCTGCTGAAACAATCAAAGCTGTCAGAAGTTGCAAAAACATCATGAGAATGTTGCGCAGGTGAACCCGGTACATCACTTCCCTACATGGAAATTCGACAAGATATTTTTCGCCGAGGCGCAACAGTCGGAGCAACAGTTGGAGCTTCCGCACCACCAGAAAACATCTGAACCTCAATGACCGCTTAGAGCTTTTTTGGTTTTGGGGAAATTTTCAGCACCCACTGGTAGCCGAACAACTTTCTTCTGCCGACATTGGCGCCAAGCCACATTGGACGTTGTCAAAGGATGAGGCGCAACACGGAACAGCCGGTTCATTGGCACCCATACATTCGGCGGATCGGGCCTGTCATATTGGCCTCGGATACAATGAAGCGGGCATGCAAACACCAGAATACATAATCACAACAGGCTCAGAGCTCCAAATTCTGAGCAAAAAGAAGCCAGTGAGATTTAGTCACCAAGACGGCGCATCCAACATATATGGAATAAGATCTTAACCCATGGGTTGACAAAGAATGCTCACGGAGCATATTTGCAGACATGGTGCTGTTGCCAATCTGGGCCATATGATCCAACCGGATAGCCCAGATTACGCATTGCTGCGTCACACCATTAGAAGTTTGGTATGACACCTTCTCACCCAATGAGAACATGGTAGCTCTTGGCCGAGAAGCAAGATCGGGTTGCGGACGTCTCTTGAGCCCGTTCCAGAACTACACAAGGATTTCAAATTTTGTGGGCGCTTGGGCACCGGCGATATATATATATATAAATATATATATATATATGGACACAGTAAACTATCAGCTCTGGAGGATTAAAAGGATTGAAAAGATTAAATGGTTGGTCCTCACATGGGGGTTCTGGAGGCTCTGGAGGATTAAAAGGATTAAAAGGATTAAAAGAATTAAATCATTTAATCCTTTTAATCCTTTTAATCCGTTTAATCCTTTTAATCCTTTTAATCCTTCTAACCCCCCAGAGATCTGGAGTCTAAGGCCCAAGCATTGGATTAAATGATTTAATCCTTTTAATCCTTTTAATCCTCCAAAGCCTCTGGAGGACTAAAAGGATTAAGAGGATTAAATGCGTGGTCCTCACATTGGGGTTCTGGGGGCTCTGGAGGATTAAAAAGGATTAAACGGATTAAAAGGATTAAAAGGATTAAAAGGATTAAATGACTAAATTCTTTTAATCCTGTTAATCCCCCAAAGGCTCTGGAGGATTAAAAGGATTAAAAGGATTAAATGATTTAATCCTCCAAAGCCTCTGCAGGATTAAAAGGATTAAAAGGACTAAATGTGTGGTCCTCACATTGGGGTTCTGGAGACTCTGGAGGATTAAAAGGATTAAAAGGATTAAAAGGATTAAAAGGATTAAAAGGATTAAACCATTTAATCCTTTTAATCCTTTTAATCCGTTTAATCCTTTTAATCCTTTTAGTCCTTCTAACCCCCCAGAGATCTGGAGTCTAAGGCCCAAGCATTGGATTAAATGATTTAATCCTTTTAATCCATTTAATCCCCCAAAGGCTCTGGAGGATTAAAAGGATTACAAGGATTAAATCATTTAATCCTTTTTTGGGGGTCTATTTCGTTCGTTGGCCTAGAAAGGCATCTTCTTCAATCTAATGAGCGCTACAGGAAACATTTGTATAACCGCGCGAGACTTTCCGAAGCGCTGGACGTTGATCGGAGACAGTAACTGGGATGGGAGGGTGGGACTGTTAAACACATGTACTGGCTTGCTCGTTGCTGCGCCCTTGCTGCAAAGCTCAGATGAAGGGCTGGGCACGCAGAATCTTTTGAAACTGAACATGTTCATCCACAACCTCCTGCAGCGCTCTGCGTGGATATAACGTTTTGGTTTCTTCATCCATGGGTATGGGATGGATCTGTTGCAGCCTCCATTTCCACGGTGGCGACTTCAATGGGCGGGAAGGCTGGGCGGGAAAACTGCTTCAAGTTTGCTGAAAAAGTTCCGCCAAAGGCTGGGCACTTTCTAGCTTTTTTCGACGGAACATGTTTAAACACAACCTCCAGCAGCGCTCTGCGTGAGCATGACGTTTTGGTTTCTTCATCCGTGGATATGGGATAGATGCGTTTCAGCCTCCATGTCCATGGTGGCGACTATGGACGGGAAGGCTGGGCGGGAAAACTGCTGCACGCTTGCTGAAAAAGCTCTGCCAAAGGTTGGGCAGACAAAATATCGACTTTTTCAACGGAACATGTTTACCCACAACCTACTGCAGCGCTCCATGGTGGCAGCAATCATGGATGGGAAGGTCGGGTGGGAAAACGGACGTGCTGGCTTGTGTGCCGGAATTTCTTTCGAGATTCCTCTTTTTCAAGTTGCCTTGATGGAGGCATCATTGGCTGCATTGCGAATGGTAAGAGCTGAAAAACTGTCGCACAACACGTCACTCTTCGCGGAAATTTGAATCCGTCCCTTCATCCATCCAGCTTATATCACATGTCCATATTATATATATTTAAACGTCATCTGCCTGGATTTCTTTTTGCCAGAAAAGCCAAGCCACGCCCAACTTGCCATCGGCGAATCCATTTCAGAGGCTCTGACCTGCACGCGTGGCGTATACTTGTGAATGTTTAGGATTTATGACCACAATCCATGCAAGCTGCATAACTATCTCCCACATCCGCCCAAAATCAACAAGCATACGAAGTTATCACTCACAATGCAAGAACAACGAGCGCTCACTACTCAACCGCGTCATTTTCTATATTGTCTGCAATACGGATTAGTGTCGAAGCCCTTTGGCTTTCACACCCGCTGAGCGGAGGGAGTGCATACGCTTGATGGAATGCACGGTGCGTTTCAAAGGTTTCAAAGCCTTTTTCCGCACTTTAGTTGCCGTGCCGTTCTTCCAGTCTTTGACTTTTTTGGCTTCTTCTTGCCTGGACTTATGTAGTGGTAGCACTGCCTTAGCTGACGAACAGCACTTCCTCCAATCGGCCTCTGTCCAAACTTCTTCGCCCACTGCTCGCGCGAGCAATATCGATTCAGAAGTTTGTTGAACTGTTGGAAAACATGAAGCCACATGGTGGGTCAACATCTTACCGAACTGCATAATTTCCAACTTCATGCGCAAGGTGCTTTGATGCAGGGACCGTATTGACTTTGTCCACGAATTTATCTCGGCATGAAGGGACTCATTAGAGGACGTGCCGCTTGGCAGCAACCCCCGCTCTAGAGGGGTTAGACCGTGGCGCACACGAAGGTTGTTCATCAGCCATTCCAATCTATCTGGTGCTGTGGCTGCCCAAAGAACCTTCCTAATTTCTTTGTTGGAGCCTGTCACTTTACGGCTCACCTCATGTGGGTACGTTGCACAAAGGGCGGCTAATGCCTCAATGAAGGTGATTCGGCAGAACAAAGGCGAATCTGGATGAAGGTTGTCCAGGATGCGTTTGGCCCTGGTTGCGCCCATGCTGCCGTCTGTGATGAGATGTCGTGCCCGCTCTTCATCGCGAGTCAGGCTTGGCGGGGCGGTGCCAGTGAAGAGGGGCCCCCAAGAGCTGGAACGCATGTTCGGGGCTACCTGGTTCATCTTATGTAGCAAACACCGTAAAACTTTTGAACCAGTCGTCTTCTTTCCCCATTGGGCATATTCGTAGACAATCGCCAGATGAACAGGATCCAAGGATAGACAGCTCAGGTTTGGGCAGATCTCTTTCAATTCGCGGAAGAGCTTAGGGGACGAGTTGTCTGTAGCTAAGTATCGAACCTGGAACAATGCCTGGTTGGAGAAAAGTGTGCACAGAGATTCCTTGATCTTTGGAGACTCTTCGCTGGGAACAGGAACCATGCCTAAAACGGCACCGGTACGCCCCCTGATAGTCAACACCCTTCTCAATGAATGCTCATCATTGAAGCACGCCGCATTGCGGGTTTCAGCCGCTGCTCGATAGTTTGCCTGTCCCTGCACGGTCATGCAGACCTTGAGTGTAGCATCAATGGACAAGCAAAAAAAAATTCCTGACTATGCTCCAGACTTCTGAGGATGGAGCTCTTCAAGCTTTGCACTTGATAGGACATGTAGATATCCTCTACAAGGGGCCACCAATGACGTGTATGGGAAGGGTACAAGTTCCCAAGCATGTTGCCAGCTTCCAAAGCCCGCAAATGTACACGAGGCCAAATGCTCTTGACCTCAGAATAAAACATCATTCCAATGATTCCAAGGCATGGTTGACACCGTAAAAAAATCTGATCCTGCTCTGACACAAGTTAAAAGGATTACATTGCACGTGCATGTCCTGTTGCTGCCAAGGAACACTCGAATGGTGCAAGACAATTTCCCTGTAGACCATTTCGGCAAAGGATTTGTCGTAATAGATGTTCAACACTCTGCGGGCAACGATTTGTTCTCCAAGGGCCTTTTGGTTGACATATCTTGGACCGTCTTTCTCTAGCAGCAGGCGTAGGTTCTTGTCGATAAAATTCTTGTTGCGGTCGAGAGGAGGAACCACTTGAGTTCTAAGGAGCATGGCACTGCGAAACAAGTAGTCTGTACCGTTCTCTTTGCGGACAGAATCTGAATCGTGCAAGGCCAAAATCACTTTTACCTGCTTCTTTCCTGAGCACACAAACTGCTTGGCGGCGACATGATGGCGCCTCAGGTGATCAGAGAGCTGGCACAATCGACCAAAAGCTCGGAAAGGGCAGAAAGGGCAGCAGTATGCACCGTGCATCTTCCGAATGTTGTTGTGCTCAATTTCTGCCATGAAAGCATGAACTTCCTCCTCCAAGGAATCTTTGATGATGTCTTGGAAAGTGATTTGGCCCTCGTCGTCGATCACGAAGCGGGGCTCTGCTGGCTCTCTGCCCTCGTCATCGTCGTCAGAACTTGCACCGCCTTGCTTATCATCTGAGCTGCCGCCTTGAACATCATGACCCTGTTTGAATTCCCGAAGCTTCTGTCTGCACAGCATCACCTGCGACTCCCAAGTCCTCTTGCTTATTCCCCCATCGCATGGGTTGGGAATCTCACCCAAGAAGTCTGAGGCATGCAATGTATCACAATGATTCCTGAGCATAGATATGTACACCCTCAATCTTTTTTCTACGCGGGTGACCAGCACAGAATCTTTCAAAGGTTCTGCGGCACTAGCACAGGACACCTTTACCAGCAGATCTCTTGCTTTGGACAATTCTGTGATCCATTCGGCCTGCGACAAGGTGGAGAAAGTTGAAGGGATCTCTGCCCATAGACCCGGCTGACTTGCCAGGAGTTGAATATAATCACAGCACAAACCTTCGAACAATGAGATGCGCTTCTCTACGAACTCTGGGAACAACATGAAAGCAGGAATGGCCGAGGACACGGACGACCTTGGGCTGGAGAATTCGCTGTCAATGAAACGGGGCTGATGGAACAGGGTGCTGTCGTCGCTTAAGGATGCCGAGGGCGACGAGCCGGCCTGGAGCTCCAACAGGCAAGAAAACGCTGTAGGACCATCTCCATTTTTGGGGGAGACTGCAAAGGAAACGATGGTGGAAAAGTCTGTCGACCCCTCAGCAAGCTCTAAAAGGCTGGATGCTTCTAGTCGGTACTCCTTGGACCCATCCTTGATCACCGACATCATAACATCTCCTGCCTCCTGGACCTCTAGAGAAACGCAATGGGGAGAACCATTGTTTTCACTGTGCAATAGATATTTGCCCGGCGAGTTGCAGACAATGCCCAAACTTGGTTTCAAATCAAGCGTTTGCAATACTTCCACGCATTGCTTATATGTGCGGCATTTTCTGTCAATGGAATATAAATTTTGCTGGGTGTCAGGTTGCAAGAACGCTTGGAGGTAGCTTTCCTTGTCCTGGCTGGCCGCCAAATGCCACAATGCACAGGGGATGCAATTAGGAACCTTCAGCAATTCAGGGGGAACGTCATCGAGAGCCGTCGAATCTAGACTGGCGATAGCTTCCATAAAATATTTGTGGATTTTTTGCCGGATTCTGACACTGAATCCGGTTCTTTCTTTGATCTTGTCTTGACTATCTGAAATCAAAGCATCAATGTTTTCAAGGACGTCTGCGTTGACCCGCACACCGTCGAAATGCAGCGACAGGTGCGTTGGCCGCTTCAAAAGCAAGAAGTCAGACCAGGCTTCCAGCACAGCATCTTCCACGCCCGACCACATGTAGAAGAATGCTGTCGCTCCTGGATACGGCTTGTCGCTTCTTGTCTCCAATTCTTCGTAATCTTTGGCCAAAACAGAGCATGCCAGCCAACGAAGATAAATGGACGCCCTCTGAATGTTCCTCGCAAACGGAATATCCTTGAATGACTTGTCCGGCGTCCCTCCGGAAAGCCAAGCTGTAACCAACTTCTTGCCGTGACTATCTGATACCTGTAGCTCCTCCCGGCATACAAGCCGACGATTGTCCGTCCAGCGACGAAGAGCTTTCAATGCCTCCTCCGGCATAGGTGGGTTGGGTTTCAACTTTTCAAGCAATTGCAGGACAAGCGTAGCGCAACAGTTCTCAATGTCCAAATCAATTGTATGATCAAAGAGTTGGGTTTGAATCCGCCTCGCGCATTTCTGGGCAGAAGTTTGGGTTGCATACCGCCGTCCGCGAAGTTTCCGATCACCGCTGTATTTGTAGCGGACAGAAGTTTCTACGAGGCCGGTGGCAGGAGCCACTTGCGCCGGGGGCTGCTTGGCCCTGGATCTGCGCAGTGGGGTTTGCGCTGGCTGCGATGCTGCTTCTGGGCAAGCGATCTCTACAAGGTTTTGGCAAACTTTCTCATAGGTTTCCAGCTTGCATAGTTGGTCTTGTAACGTCTGTTTTTTTGCATGGTCGTCGGCAGCTGGCCGGCCTTTTTTCCGCTTCTCTTCTGTCAGGCATTCGGTAAAAAACTGCTTCAAAATATAGACATTGTTGTTTCGACAAGGGTTCTCCTCCAAATACTTGCGGATCTGGCCCGGATCTGGCCCGTGTTCATAGACTCTGGAAACACGCGCTCCTCATCTGCCCGCTGACTGAATATTACATCTTCGAAGCCTACTTCGCAAGAGATGACCGGTTGGAGAACGTCCTTGGCTTTGCCTTTTCTGCATCCTTTCTGCATCATTTTCCTTGTCTTCAACTCTTTGAAAGCTGTTTGGTGCGATGCGTTGGGCTTGTTGCTCGACTGTGCGTAAACCTTTTTGAACTCCCACAGTGTGATGTCACTGCAGGACTCAGCCAGCAAATTTGTCACAACAAAATCACGCAGCGCAGTGTACTGCAATTCTTCCTGGTCCCGTTCCTCTTGTGAATCTGACACATGTAAGAGACCCACGCCTCCCATTGCAGTTTCTTCGTGGCGAACTCGGAGCTCCAACCCACAAGCCTTCCGCATCTTGTCTTCAGTAAGAAATCCATCGCCGCCGGTGGCATAATCATCAATCAGGTGCATGCATTCATTCTGGCTGTGCTGCATTTCGAAGGCGTGCTGCGTGTGCAAACCAGCAGCACAAGCGCCCGGACTCACCAAAAATTGCTTCAAAGTTGGATCGGCCAGGAAATGCCCGTCTTCCTCATGATCTGCATGAGCTTGTTTCAACACAGACTCTGGGTGGAACCTAGCCTTTGGTTTCCACACAAGAGCGCGGCGCATGACTGACTGGAAGTTGGATTTGGTGATTCCTGCAAAAACCATCATACGGTTTACTTCCAGGCGTTTCCAACCCACAACGCTGAACATTCGCGTTGTGTATCCGTATGGCTTCCGCCCCGCTATCCCATCCCCTGACATAGTCTTCTTGAACAAATCCAAATGCAACCTCTTGTGTGATTCTGGCGCTTCTTGGCCAGTGACGACGATGCAGCGAGCGAAGGATTCGACCTGCTTTCGGGGCTCATCTTCGTTGTACCAAACGTTTGGATCGAAGTATCCATGATTGGAGCCGAGCATTGCATCAATATGCAAAGAGAGCAAGGACTGCCCAACCCCCCCAGGGGATTCACCAATGAAGCACCTGTCCACATTGAAGCCACGCTTCGCTAAGGCCATGGCAGCCATATTGCATTGGAACACGTCATTGTTCGCCCAAAATGTTTGCTGGTAAAACTTTTCGAGGCGTTTTTGTTGCTGTTGCAACACTGGATCAAGCAGTGGGTGCGGAATGAAAATGTAGCAATCATTTCCTGCTGCTTTAGGGATGTGTCTCAAAATTACTTCCCTGCTTACATCATATTGCACACATGTGTCATGGTACGACACGCATGGCTTCTGTGACCGGGGTGTTTCGCACCATTCGACCAATAAGGAAATAAGCTTTTCATGCATGAGCTCACTTCGGATGGATTGGCATATTTTCCAAATTCGTTTGCCCAATGCGATCGGCCAATCTTCTGCATGCTTGTTTCCTCGTGGAACATCCGCTTCTACTATTTCATCAGCATCTTCGCCAAACTCATCGCGGGCTGGTGCCATGGTTTGCTGCCATATCGCGGCCTCTTGGCACGCCTCTAAGAATTTCTCTTCGTCTGCGAAATGGGCGCGGTCCGCTGCAATAGAAGCCAAAATGTCCACATCGTTGCGCCGGGTTGCAGGGTCCATTCGCCTGAAAATACCTTCCAGCTGGGAGAAGAACAGCGCTAATCGCGCAAGTACGGCTTGAGGCGGGATCCCGGAGTAAGGCATAAAGGCGCCATTGTCATTGTAGATATAGCAGAAGCCGTCATGAATCCGAATGAACCTGTCACCTTCCACAAGCCACAGGAAGAAGGCATTGTCGCCCATGAAGAGACGATCGGACAATCTGGCGCGGTATGCTGCAAGAGCAGCGGCGCCAATGCGCACCAAGCGCTCAGACCAGGCAGGGTATTTGTCGGTCACTATCCGCCGGAGTTCACAAACACGAGCCAGAATTGTATCGTTGGCACCTGCTGTGTCCTTGTCCTCATGAACTAAGGCCTCGTTCCATTCATGATACTGGCGAAACATATCCTCAAACTCACTCCGAGTTGTCTGTGCCCCTTTCATGAGCCGTCTCTTCTTCACGGAAGCCAGCAAAGGATCATCCTCAACATCACACAGATCTGGGTCTTCAGGGCCTTCCTCTTTCACTTGCGTCTCTACCACTTCTGGCTGAGTCTCACACGGTTGTTCGCTCAAGGCTCTGCCTTGCGAAGGCTGAGAACTATCTAACGCACCGCCACAAACATCTTTCGCTTTTTGCTGCCAAATCTTCATGATCGCCTCAATCTCGGCCTCCATACGCGGCACTTCATCAATGAAAGGGTCCAGTTGCCTGTCTGGATGAGTGCCAACAATGAACATTTTTGAAACCTTGTACCCGTAGTACTTCTCAATGATGTGCCTGTAAGCGTTCAACTGAAGTCTGTAATGTGACCCAGCGCAATCGGGAATGCGGCCCAAGGGCGGCAACATCGCACAAGGCGACCAAAATTTTTCTGCCAAATTCGCAGACCTTTTCCAATCAATCAGCGCCAGTGAGCCTTCATTGTCTACGGCACAGAAATCTATAGAGCCAGCTAGATTTTCATTTTCGGCGAAAACAACCCATTCAGTCCGGTATGCCCGCCACCCCTGCATTTTGTCGAGGAATTTGATCAGCATTCTGAATTCAGGACTGGTTTGCGGCACTGCATACCCATTGATATGGGCTTCAAACAGATAATGCATATAAGAACCACATGCAGCCGCTTCACTGCCTTTCATCTTCCACATTGTCTTGATCTCGTCTGGCCCCAAGGATAAACTATGACTGAGGTCTGGGAACTGCGGCTTCAATGCTTGGACCCGTTCACAAATCCACGGGTCGTTGCGTGGAACATCGAGCAACGCAAGAAGAAGGGAAGGATCAACCGCGCGCACCCTCTGCAACACGGCCTCCGTCATAACGGGACGCAAATAATTTGGTCGGGGCCAACGGTCACTAGCCATCATGCCGCGGATAACTGCATCCGCATCAAAAGGACGCGAAAAGGCGTGAATCATCCCCGTGGCTGATCCTTGCGTCTTCGCTCCATCAACAAAGTACTCGTGGTTTTCCTGCTCAAAACGGACATGAACGTCGCGACCGTGCGGGTGGAGCCAAGCCAAGGTCGTGAGGTCTTGACAAGCCACGAAATGCTCATAGTTGAATGGCACCAACCCGTCTGCGCCATCACCACGGATTGGCAACTCCATCCCAGTCTGTGTCCACGTGATAAGCTTCTGAATTTTCCGCTTCCGGGCTACTTGTCTATTGGCTTGGATCGCGGAGGGCAAATCTCGAAGTGTGCTTCCGCCACAAACATCCCCTGTGAAACACTGCCGCAAGCCGCGGCATAGCGGCGCTAACTCGCTGCGCACTCTGTATGTGGAAAGCATTCGGGCATTTAAAAGGAAAAGGGTTACCCATGACTCTGACAGCCTCTCCCAACAACCATCCATGAGAGAAGCCCTTGTGTCTGAATCGCAGCAACATAAAAGAGGCGTCTGGTCCCTCGCATCAGGAACCAAGGGATCGGCGCCCGCCAAGAGCAACTGTTTCACAAGCAGAACATTTCCGCCCATGGCCGCCAAGTGTAACGGCGTTTCTCCGCCAAAGTCTTGCACGTGCACATCAGCTCTAGAATCTAACAACAGCTGCAAAGTTGTTGGAGTATTTTTCAGGGTGGCCAAGTGCAAGGCGCTTCGACTGTCGTTGCCAACAACCCTCGGGTCGGCAAAGGCAGACAGCAGAAGGTGAACGCAATAAAACAAACCAGCTCCAACTGCAGTGAGTAGTACCGCCTCTTGGCGCCCAGTTCGCCGCACAATGCCTGAGCAATTTGGCTCCTGGCCTGCAGACAAGATTGCAATAATTGTATCATGCTGCTGTTCTTGAACAGCCCAAGACAAATCCAGCCTATACTGATTTGTTCTGGCGTGAAGAACGACATCCAGCACTGGAGGGGGCGGGAACCCAACCACGGCCCAGATCGCTCCCATGGGGACCACCTTGCCTTCCAGGACCAGCGACACAGCAAAGGGAAGATGCCCATGATGGCGAGCAACATGCTGCTTGAGACCAAGAATTGTGCAATCTTCCGTGACACTGAGGCTGCATATATGCTTTCCTGTGCAAGCCAAGACAAACGAAACTGCGCTGCCCCCTTCCACATCCCAACACGGGCGTTCCGATTGAAACGATTTAGACGCGCACCACAAACTGGAAGGACATCCGTATTCTGCCAAGATTGACAGTATGCCCTGCAAGAGGGTAGCAGCATCGACACGATGAAAATGGTATTCGAGGCAAAGGGATACAACAGGGCCACAGCAACGCGCTAGTGTGTACGGAGACGAATACCATGCATTTTGCTTCAAAGGATTTGCCCTATGAGCGAGCAGCATGTCAGCAAAGGCCGCGTCTTCGTAAGCAGCTGCATAATGCAAGGGCGTGTTTTTAGCCGCAGTATTGTCTTCTAGATTTGGGTTCGCCCCTTGCCAAAGCAAGAAGGAGGCACAGGATTCTGCGTCGTGAATCACAGCGGAATGCAAAGGACCTTTTTGTCCAGGAGGGACATAATTTACGTTGGCTTGCGCTCTGACCAACATCCTCACAATTGGGAGGTTGCACTGCTGGACTGCAGTGCCTAAAGCAGAATTGATGATGGTTGTATCCGGGTCCTGACCCATCTTCAGGATTTCTTTGACAGCACCGACATCATCTTTCTCAATGGCATCGAAGAGGTCGTCTGCCCAATCTAATGCTTTGGGCTTTTTCACCATTGTGACTATGCTTGGGCAACCTAAGTCCTGCCAAGTGGCCTCCTCTTCAATCAATTGGTCTGACAAGAGGAAATGAAGGGCGAAGTATGGCAGACCGAAGGCTTCGACGGCACTTGTGCGGGCAAGATGAAGGAAACTTTCGTCATCTTCCAACCAGTCCGGAATTGAACACGACAACACACATTCACCTGTCAAGGCAGACAGCACCCTGACATCGCCCCACAATGGCACGCTTCCGCCGCACACATCATGGCGCGCCATATACCTTCCTTTTGGCAAGCTCTTAGCCTGAAACGTTCGGAGGAAAAGCTGCATCCGGACATATCTGTAGAACAATCCGTCAGGCATGCAATTGGGACGCAGACAAGACGTCCTGGTTGCGACTGGCAAACTAAGGAAATGCATGAGGAGCCAAGCGCTGGCCAATTTCTTGACCCGATCCCGGTGACTAAGCGCGATGTTGGATGTAGACAACACATCCAAAAGCTCCGGTTTCCGTTGAATTTCAGGCCAATAGAAGGTCAACAGTAAAGCCTCCAGTTGCACCACCTTCATGTCTTTGATGAGGTGAAGAAAGAGAGAACAACATTCCAGCCGAAGCTGCCATGCAAAGGCCGTCTCCTGCGTGTCAAAAGGCACAGGCAGGATCCAAAACGCGTTGGGGAATCTTTCCAAAGTTTTGCTGAGCGGAAAGATGGCTGTGAAAATCTTTCAGTTGCAGCCAAACTCGCGGGTTGTCATACTGCTCGTTCCTCCGGAACAAATATAGATGTCGCAGCATTTTTGTGGCGGTTGTCTCTGGCATGGGTTTTAGGCACAACATCGGCGGTGTCTGGCTATGAACCGTTTTTGCGGCGGTTGTCTCGGGCATTGGCTTCAGGCACAACATCGGCGGTGTCTCGCTATGAACTGAGTCCGGCGGCTGAGAGACAGGCGCTCCCACGGGCGTGCAAAGTATCTGCGCCAGTGAGATTGGACGTGCGCCCCCACAGACATCAGTGCTTGGCTTGGCGACATGTGAGGCGAAAGGAATTAGCTTGAAGACCGCTTCAATGGAGGAAGGCCTGAGAGTAGGCGAGTCCAACCCTACATGGGTCTTGTGATTCATCTGCAACCGCCACTCACCATCCTCAAACACGCGAAAGCCACTAAAATGCTTGCGAGCGTATATAACATACTTCCCAGGTGTGAGCTTGGAAGCATCGCAAGCCCCAAGCGGAAGGAGGGCATACCTGCCAGCCGAAAGGATGAGTGAGATATGAAGAACGGTTTTTAACTAAATTAAAGCTACGCTGTATATCAACAGGGAAGCAGTGCGACATAAACTTTTTTGCTAAGGCGCCCAAATGGGGCCAGCATCTCATCTCCATCTTTCAATGCCCAAAATGGCCCCGCTTTGGTGTACGGGACCTTGATACCCACATACCGAAGCGAATCGACAAGGCAATTGTCTGCAAAATGCATAGGTCTGGCGCTTTTGGCTCCTGCTGCGAGGAGAAATCGAACAGTGGCAGTTTTTTCAATCACAAGAATGCTGTGAACAACCATCAGCGCCCGGAAACTTCGATTACACAAAAGCCCTGACTATAGGCACCTGGGCTGAAACTTGTCTTGGACTTGGGCTTGTCTTCGGGACCTAAAGCGGCTGCGAACACACGCCCAACATGTCATACTGTCATTACTGAATTTCATTCAACACAGACATTCCGGCCGGGGGGCAGCGAGCAGGCCGCGATGAAATTTCATGAGCAGCTATCGCCATGTACTCATCTAACACCTTGTCCAAATTGTAGTCTTTGCGCCGGCGACAACGTTCGGCCCCAAGGATTGCATTGATGTGGACGTTGCACCAATACAGGTCTTCGAACCGCCGACGTTTTTGACGCTTTGAAAGGCAAGGCCTTGGCTGAAAAAGGCGGGGGCTACACAGCGTTGTCACCGACTGAATTTCAACCTGTTAACTATTAACCATTCATCTGGGCAATACCATGTATATGGACCGCTTCACTTCAAGGCACGCTTTGTAATTGGCCAGTGCCTTGCCCTTGTCTGACCTCAGCCATGGGCTTCGCAACAAAACACGTAAGAAATCATTTGTCCGGCGTCGAATCAAAGCTCTCCAAATCAGCCCAGTCACTGGAGCCGCGCAAGCAATCGCCTTAGTAAAACGGAAACAAAATACGCATAAATTTCTTTTATTGTCCTTCGCAAAATCAAACACTTCCTCTGCTGCTGGGAGGCTCTTGGTCATCCTGCGGGCTGGAGAACCTCCAGAACTGCAGAAAGGTTGGAAGTTGAAGGGTGCAAAATTCAACACCATGCCACGCAACCGCATATACATAAGCCGAAGCGCACAGCCAGGTGGTCATCATCTCGTTCACCTGCCGCGTTTCCATCGGGCTCGGAAAGCATCCTGCGGTAAGCGCGTGTGATTGTTTCGGGCGCATCTGTCTTTTTGGTCAGACGTGCAGCCAAGGCTCTCCAACTCATCTCTTCGCACCCCTCGGTGAGGCCTTGGTCGTGAAGGAACAGCGAAC